ATGTGGAGAAAACTAGAGGCAGCAGAAATGTGGTTCTACAGAAGGATGTTGAGAATTCTATAAATGGAGCGAGTAAGCAACAATAAAGGGATCAGAAAAAAAAAGCAGATGACATTCTTTGGACACCTCATGAGGTAGGAGGACTTGGAAAATCTAACACTTACGGGGCATATTGAGGACAAGGATGATAGGGGAAAGGCAACGAGCTACTTACTCGATGAGCTAGTGTTTATCTTTATATATATATATATATATATATATATATATATATATATATATATATATATATATATATCAAATATGTGGTGAAATAATTAGCATGTAAAAAGGATGACTGTATGTACAGCTTTGAAATAAAAGCAGATTAAAAAAGACCTTATACAGAATTTGTAGTTATAAACTTTAAAAGTTTGGTTTGCGAAGAGATTTCGCCATTTTATATCATTAACTTTACTATTCTACTTTTTGTATGAATGATTAAATATATATATATATATATATATATATATATATATATATATATATTAAGACCCCGGACATTCAGGCCGGTAAATGTTGTTTAATACTGGATAAAAAGAATGTATAAACATAAAATGTCTTAAAATAATTGTCGAACTTTCTCCATTTCATAATATATATATATATATATATATATATATATATATATATATATATATATATATGAAGGTTCAGACACTAATATTCTATGTTTATAATTATTACATTGGAATCGTAATCACGATCCAATGTAGGTCTGATGAAATGGATCGTAATTACGATTCCAATGTAATAAATTATTATCATGGAATATTAGTGTTTGAACCTTTCATATTATATTCATATTCGCTCCTGGACATTGAGTTCTACATGGATTCTATCCTCTTGAAATGTGTGTATATATTGGAAATGTTATATATATATATATATATATATATATATATATATATATATATATATATATATATATATTGACCACTAATATTATCAATATATATATATATATTGACCTCTAATATCAGTATATATATATATATATATATATATATATATATATATATATATATATATATATATATATATATTGATAATATTAGTATATATATACATATATATATATATATATATATATATATATATATATATATATATGTATATATGCTGGTAATATTTTTTCTTCAAAAATCTATTTCTGGTAATAATTTTCCTCCAAATATGCATCGCTGGCAATAATTTTTTACAAAGTATTTCTGCTATTAAAACCAATTTTTTTTACACTTTCATACTGTTTTGAATCTAGTTTGGGAGTTAACTATTTGCCCATAGCTGGGACCCTAACTGGTGCTACCATTCCGGATTAGGGTGGATCTGAGAACACCATCAATTAAGTGTTGGTTCCATGCTCCTCAAAACCTCCTAATCTGAGGCCTTGCTGTCGGACACAGTTTATCGTTTTACCCAAGACGCGGATGTAGTTTATCGTCATACCCAGGACAAGTAGCTTATCGTCTTAACCTGGACGCGGATGTAGTTTACCATCTCACCCAGGACAGCGGGTAGTGGCGGGAGTGTTTTGGAGTCATTCCTAATAAAAATTGGAACTCACACCAATTATTTCTATATAATGGTTCTCACAGAAAAGAACATTACGTGAAATAAAATTACAAACATGTCTCTTGTGGCAACGAATGTGACGGAGACTGATATTAATGTGTAACGGCACAATGTTTTTTATAAAGCAAACCCATGATTATCCAGACAACATAATCGTAGAAAATAATTCATTATCTTTGATATTTTCACTCTCAATGGCTGACAGTACTTAATCGAATTTCAACCTTCGTGCCTGGAGACTTTTATATGATTTTGTTCAAATGTTATTACTCTTTTCAATGATCTGATGCACAATTACATGTTTCGCAAAGTGAAATCCTGGCATTATGCGTATTCATTATTCTACATGAATTTTCCACTAATGTCGACAACTGTTTATTGGTTTTATTGTAAATTTTGAGTAGATTTACTTTCACAATCACATTTCGAGTCCAAAGAAGAAATCGATTAAAATTTATTAAAAAAAAAAGATTTAAAAAATAGCAAAAAGATAAAAATACGATAAGCGTATATTATTTATTTATTTACAATTGATATTAAAAAGTTGATCAAATACAGTCCGACTTTTTTAATTTAAATTATTAAACTATATGAACCAACTGTAAGGAAAAACTTATTATTTACATTTTAAAAAGCTCGAATCAACTGGCAGTTAGTCGATGTATTGCCAACCATTCGAATAAACAATATAATAAATAGTATAAATAAGCAAGCTGATAAATAAATAGTGTTTATTACTTTTCATGTGACCGGGAACTAAGAAAACGGAAGCATCGTTTCAGTCGTTGTTCTCAAACGGAAATACCGTGTCAGCCATATTGTTATCTATGAATTAAACTGCAGGAGCACCACTTCTACCGACAGAGAGTTGACCAGACTAAACTGTTTTGTTGTTATTATTACAGACACTCTTACATAGTTGTAACAACTTTTGTTTGTCAGTTCTCACGAACAAAGAAAATGTATAAGTTCACTTTCATATCTTTATATTTTAATACAATTTTAATACAATTTTAATCACCGCTTTTTAAAACAATAAATGTTGCCGAGGAATGAAGGTAGTTAAATTAATAGCAGTGTTATATAAAATCGTTCTTTTGACCCACCGTTTTTTTATAGACACAAAGGTCTAAATTTGTCATTAATGATGATTTTATTTCTCGTTTTAAGCTTTGACCTACAGTTGATACCACAGCAATATACAAGCTGTTCCATAGTGATGGAACAAAGCAAGCATCTTGGACTATAAAAAATGACATAGAGTACAAAATATATTTATTACATAACTGATATATAAGAGTTCAACATACATAAGATTTTGCTATTTTCTACAGGTATATGATATATCCTTTTGCTGGCGGTAGGCCCCAATAATAATATGAACTCCAAAAGAAATTGCATACGTAGTGGAAGAATACTTCACAAAGGGAATTCCGACAGCATTTTGGAAAGGAAGAGACACCATCCCGAAAAGGGATCCTGCTTGCTGTTACAAACTTCCGTGAGACATGGTAGTGAATGCTAAACAATCTCCTCAAAGGTATTCTCAGTATCCTTATGTAGAACTACATTTCTATTGTCCCAGATCTTTTCTTCGTCTTTGAGGAGATTGTTTAGCATTCACTACGAAAAAGAGATCTGGGACAATGTAGTTCTACATAAGGATACTGAGAATACCTTGGACTGAACCCGTGAACAACGACGAAATTTTAAGGAAAATGGAAACAAATAAGAACACTTATACTTAGAATCATAAAGAGATAATTGAAATTTCTAGACCAAATAACGAGGAAAAAGGGTTTAGTAAGTTTGATACTCACAAAACATGTTGAAGGCAAGAGGGACAGATTGATTCCTTGTCTACGCCTTATCAGCTCTTTGCAGATTATTTTATTTTTTACTCTGGACTTATCTTATTTTGTACGCTAGACTTATTTTATTTTGTACTCTAGACTTATTTTATTTTGTACTCTAGACTTATTTTATTTTGTACTCTAGAATAATTTTATTTTGTACTCTAGACTTATTTTATTTTGTACCCTAGACATATTTTATTTTGTACTCTAGACTTATTTAAGAAGATAAAGAATGGTACTCTACTCATGGAATGAACTAAGGGCAAGAGGGACAGAGGAAAACAATGCATAACCTACTTAGAGAGTGTGAGTAAATGAATAGCAGAACAGGATTTAGGATTAATAACTAAAAGACAAAATTTATTACGAGCTACAAGGACAAGAAGTTGTGGAGAGCTATGATCGCTTATGTCTTGAAGGGACATGGCACATAAAGAAGAAGATCTATAGTGTAAATTAAATGGCAGTGAGTGCTGTACAATCTCCTCAAAGCTGAAGCAGAGACTTGAAGCAACAGAAATATGTTTCTACAGAAGGATGCTGAGGATACCATATTAGGGACCGAACATGTGGCAACAACAAATTATTAAAGAAAACGGTAACAATAAGGACACATACTTAGAATCTGAAAGAAATTTGAAATTTCTAGGTCTCGTAACGAGGAAAGAAGGTTTAGAAATCTTGATACTCACAGGACATACTGAAGGCTAGAGATATAGTGGAAAAAAAGCGCATAACCTACCTAACTTGTTTATGAAAATGATTGAAAGAACAGGAGAGATAGCGAAAAGACAAGCTTTTCTAAGAGGTACAAGGGACAGGAAATTGTGGAGAGCCATAACCGCCCGCGTGCAGAAGTGACAGGGAACAAAGAAAAAGAAAACTATAGTGACAGTGTGGAATTATGAAAGTGGCCAAGATCAAGTTGTCTTGACGTCGTTACTGCATGTTGATTATCACGGTCTCTTGAAAAAGCTTGGGCGCGTTCATCAAAATTGCTTGCGTCGAATACACGAAGGAATCAACTTGAGAATGCATGTCGATGATGTAGAAGTGCTTGAGCCAAGTGAGTGCGAAAGCATCGAAAAGACAATTTTCAAACATAGCATGCGTTTGAGTAGTTATATTACTCATATTGCCTAAGCAACAGCAAGATTCCACTGAAATTTTTGTATGATGAATTTGATAACGGAAAGCGACCAGCCGATAAGCCAAACAAGCGTTATAAGGATGGCCTGAAAATCTCACAGAACCTTCCAGATGTCAGAACGTATGACAGGGATTGATTGATTAATCGATTTGTTTTTTACCCCTTTGCAGCTTATTTAAGGCCAGAAAACATTTTTAGATATTTTTTGATTGTAAGAACTTTTTGGTGATAATAATGATTGATAAATGCAATCCTACTAGTTAACCCACAGCTGGGAGAGAAATGGTGGATTCATACGTTTCCCAAAAAGTGCGCATAAATGAATATAACATACCGAATTGCAATTACGTGTCTTTATTCATTACACCATCCGCACATCCAAGCTTACAGCACCTGGCATTCACATGCGGTCACCCATCTAAATACGGACCAGGCTCGACGTTGCTTAACTTCGGTGATCTGATGTGAACTGGTGTTTCAAAGTTATATAGCCGTATTATTGTTTACTGTTTATTTATTCCACATACTGAATTTTTATGATTGATTCAAAGTATGCTGTGCTATCATAGCTCCAAATCTTTGAACACGGCTAGACTAGTCGAAAGCTTACGGAACGAGTAATCATTCGGTTAGTTTCTCCTTGAAAGAAGTCCGGTTCTGAGCGTTCTTCCCCTTCATTAGAAAAAAGAGTGCTTCGACATAGCGTAATGGTTAGCAAGCATGTCTTGGGAGATCAATTACGAATGATTATTGAGTTCGACCATTACTGGGTGCTCCGCACTTTCGGCCTTGTGTCACAGCTAAGCTATATTTAGAAAATAAACCTTAAATTTTGGGGCATAGTGTAATGGTTAACAAGCTTGTCTCGCTAGATCAGTTACGAGTGGAAAGTAAGTTCGATCTTCACTAGGTGCTCCATTCTTTCGTCCTTGTGCCACTTTTAAGCTACGCTTAGAAAATAACCAATACGTTCTTAGACACCACAACGTGGAGTAATGGTTAGCAAGCTTGTCCCCCTAGGTCAGTTACGACTGAAAAGTGAGTTCGATCCCCAAGACGTCAAAAATAAAACAAGTTAATCAGAAGAAGCTAAAAGCTTGAAAATGCTTAACCGGCCTTTCTTTCTATGTTGCATAAATCACAAAGAATAAAATATAATGTTTTAATTAAATCTCACCTATTCGGTATCCCAGTGTTACATTTTCCTTCTGTATTTATTTGGACTAGTGACAAAATATCAAATTAAAAACGACTAATTTGAAGTGTTATCACTGGTATTGAATCAGCGGGCTTATTTTCATAAATATTTGCCTATTCCAGACATATGAAAAATAACATTCATTTCAAGCAAAGATACAGAATTTAACTTAGATGGATGAGTATAAACTATCTGATTATAATTTTGCTTGTTCCTCCCTTAGTTAAGACGAGAGTCCATATCAATACCTCATAAACCATAGACCATTTTTTATCGCGTAAAAAGACAGAAAAGACATATCAGAGACGCTACTTGGTTTCAGTTACAGAAAGAAAGAAAAGAAAGAAGGATGAGAAATAAGTGTTTAACATATGCCAAAACTCATAAATGATGGACTATTCCGTTATGATCACGTGGAAAGCGGGAAAGACATATCAAAGACGCTACTTGGTTTCAGTGAGAAAATGCAAAAAAGAAAGGGAAGATAACTATGTTTAGCGTTTGTTACAGTGTAATGAAAAACGTTTTCACTTTCAAAACTTTTCATTTGTACCCCCTTACTTCTTAAAATAACGATCAGCATTCATATTTATGGTTGCTATTGAAATATTTCTTTTTTAAGTTGTTAAGCTCAAATATTTAACGACACGATTGAGGATATATTATTGTCATATAACTCACTATGAGTTTGTTCAATCACTAACCTAAGAATTAAGATTCATCAAAAAAATTCAAATAGGAAAACGGTGAAATTTTCTCGTTTATTTCAAGTATACATAATTGTACTACGAGATAAAATTCAATATCCACTTATGTTTTACCTACTGAGAGTTTTGGGGAGATTAAATCGTGAAGAGGCTTGATTATAAAAAGACAGCTTAACTTGCAAACATTATTGTCTAGAGAAAAAAAAAGCATGATCGAGCGTTTTGTTTTTTTATTTTTGTGGGTGGGAGAAATGTTCTTTTTCGGTTTTTGTTATTGTCATATACAATAATATTTACATTTTACTTTAAACGTCTTTGCCGTCTCTACTGTTTCTTCATCGTTTTAAGTTCCTCTTATCACTAACTTCTGTTCTATTTTTATACACATTCACTTACTATAATATTTCTTTCCAAATGTCTTTTTAGTTTATTTATACGAAAGCGGAAGGTGATGAACTTATTATTCATGTACAATAACTACTGTATTCAGTATACGAACTTCGTAAACCGAAGTCTGCCACCAAGGCACGTGATATGTGATTTAATTTTTCTTTACATTAAACGTATACAATAGGCATGCGTTCTAATCAACCATATTCTTTCTTTCTTTCTTTCTTTCTTTCTTTCTTTCTTTCTTTCTTTTTTCTTTCTTTCTTTCTTTCTTTCTTTTTTCTTTCTTTCTTTCTTTTCTTTTCTTTTTTCGTTCTTTTTTTCGTTCGTTCTTTTTTCTTTCTTCCCCTCTTACCCCCTTTCTCTCTGCCTCTCTCGCATTTTGTTATTTCTAATGTTCTTTCCGCTATCTGTCTCGCTCTATGCTCTGCTCTCACTTCCTCTTTCTTTCTCTCACTCTCTCACTTCTCTTTTAGTATTTTTTGTCATTTCTTTTGTATTTATAACTATATTCTGAATTTTTTCCAGTTTTTTTTCTTTTTACTCATTATTTCTGAGTTTTCTTTGATCTCTCTTTTTCTTTCCCAGCTCGTTTTTCTTTCTATCATTCTTACCATATTTCTTTCTCTTACCAAACCTTTTTCTCCTCCTATCTTCCTAATCTGTATGTCCGTCTGTCTCTCCAAATATATATATATATATATATATATATATATATATATATATATATATACACACACACACACACACACATACACAAATTTAATGATATTTATATTCAAAAATATTTTACATTGCGATACGGAAATTTCTGTTTCGGGACTTAATTTTTTTATTCCGTGATCAGGCAATGTTCGGTAAATTTTAATGAAAATGATTTCCTTTTGAAAGCAAAAAACAATACGTTTGCTTATTAAAAAGGAGAATTACCCCCACTCCAACATCTCACCGATATTTTTAACTTTTCTGCTTTAGTCAAAAGAGACAAACACACAAGATTTTAAAATCTGGAGCCCCCTCCTTTTTAATAAGCAAACGTATTGTTTTCTGTTTTTCCAAAGACAATCATTTTCATCAAAATGTACCGAACATTGCCTGATGAAGGGATAAAAAGAAAATTAAGTCCCAAAACATAGAAATTTCCGTCTTTGCAATGTAAAATATTTTAAAAAAAAATATATATATATATATATATATATATATATATATATATATATATATATATATATATATATATATATATATATATATTCGTTTTTTTTACGTTTCCCTGATATCTTTTACTAAATGTTCCACATTCCTGTTTTGTTAATTTGTTTATTTCTTCCTTATTTCTGTAATTTTGAATTAATTCATTGCCTTGTTTTTATTTGAGTAGTAATTCAGTTTTGTTTCTAGTAGTTAGAGTTATTTATACTACAACCCTAACATTACGATTGTTTTCATTAATCGATTTTTAATTATTACTTGAGTTTCATATCAAATGCTACTCATTACTGTCGAAAGTAAACTTTTTTACAATTATCAAATCAATATATGTAGTCTGAAATTTAATATATAATGTAAAAAAAAATCATTCTCTAAAATTAATCAAGTAAAAATGGTATCTTCGTCATTAGTGATATAAGTTATATATATAAAACAGAGGATGTCTGTGTGTCTGTCTTTTCATTCGAAATCCATTCAACCGATTTTGACGAAACTTGACATATATATTGTACAATGTAAGAGATAGGTTCTTAGAGTAAAAAATCGATAATTTTAAAAAAATTATTAATCGATAAATTCGATCAAATATCGATAAATTCAACTTTTCAACTTCGTCTAATCTCTCTCTCTCTCTCTCTCTCTCTCTCTCTATCTATCTATATATATATATATATATATATATATATATATATATATATATATATATATATATATATATATATAAAACAGAGGATATCAGTGTATCTGTCTTTTTCATTCGAGATCCATTCAACCGATTTTGGCCAAACTTGGCACATACATTGTACAGTGTAAAAAATAGGTTTTTAACGTAAAAAATCGATAATTTTAAAAAATCAATAATCGATAAAGCCGATCAAAAATCGATAAATTAAACTTTTTTTCTCTGATTTCGTTTAAACTCGGTATGTTGGTTACTTACATCATGATGAACTCAACGATACCGCATTTTTATTTCTACGCCACTACGTTTAGCGAAAAACTCCGAAAAATGAATAATCGATTTCAACACAAAACGATTTCAACATAAATTTTAAACTAAAAACTCCCTCAATTTTCAGACAATCTAATACAAACTTTACTCAATTGTAGCCAGCAATAAGTTGATTGTTTAACAGTCATTTAACTTGATAATTGAGTCCGCCCATATAGTGAAAACCTGCATAAATAGCGAAAAATGACGATTTTTACTGTTGTCTTTCTTATTTTTCGTTGATCCTTCAACCAACTTTCATCAAACTTAACAACTTTATAAATGTATCCTCTTTTACATCCCAGGTAGCTAGTTTACCGCTAGATGAATTCGCCGCCAACTACCAGGCGATTTCATTTTCACGCCTCACGCCAGACTGTCAGATAACGTATTTCTCATTCCCTGACATGCGCACACATTACAGATAATCAAGGGTAGATAACCAAATTTAACGTTACAGTGGTTAGAATTTTGTGTACTGATTCGTACCTGCAAATATATGAACGTTTCTTCTCGACGTTCGTAGTTAATATTTTCAATTTTACTATGGATTAAAATTTAAGGTGGTTATAAAGAATGCCGAAATTCTGTTTTTTTATTCAATATTTTTATGTTAATTTTGTAAGCGTATTTTATAAATTAATTAATAATGATCTATGAGATTTAATTTTGAATAGTTTAGTATTTTTGACTTTTCTTTGAATTTGTCAAGAATATCGAGAATATATTGCAGGAGCACCAGACCATATATGGCGGAAGTATTCAACGCACGGACGAATGGTCTGGCACAACAGAATGAACCAACTTTCAGTAGACTTACCATTTGATTTAATAGAATCACTCCTTTTCACGTCTTTGGGAAAAGTGAGATTTTTGATCGGCATCGCTCTTCAATTACGAATGGAGCGCTCTTGGCTACTGGCGTTTGTATACATATCGTATATAATACGTTAAACATTTTCCCTTTATCTGCCGTGCGCTAATACCTTAGTATTGCTTT